TAATCTTTTTTATAACTACTTATTATTTTATATATTGACCTATGTATTTATGAAACAAATTTATAACTCTTTCGAAATAATCAATATCCTCCTTTGATCATGAAAAAGGAAAGACATCGCGAGGATTCAGAACACATTAGTAGTCCGTTTTACGCGTTACGGAATTCGCGTTACGGAACTCGTTCAATTGCAGTTACTTTGGCAACAATTCAAGACGCTCGGCAAATATTTCCGTTGTACTAATTCATTCCGACCGGTTTACTAGACGCTCTGCGCAGTTTATCTCGTTGCTAAAATAAGTATAGATCTCTTTCAAACAACTTCCGCGGGACTATCTGTATCATGTATTTCCTCACGCTGTCTACTCCGATTTCCTCTTCTTTTTAAACATCTATCTTTCTTTCATTCGTTGTCTGTGTGTGTGTGTGTGTGTGTGTGTGTGTGTGTGTGTGTGTGTGTGTGTGTGTGTGTGTGTGTGTGTGTGCGTGTGTATTTTTACAATTTTCGCAATTTCGAAAACGTTCCGACATATTAAACACAAGTTCAATAAACCTTTCTATTATTTTATTTGCTCACATTTAATGAATAGAAACAATAACATTATGCGTTACTAACAAATAAAATCTTTATACACTGAATTTAATTTTATATTAAAAATTGACATTACGAATACATTTAAACGTTTGTTTTCCGAAGACATTGCTGGGGATAATCGAAACAAATTTAAGCTAGCTTAAATGTACTCTAAGATGCAACTCTAAAATTTCAGGGCGGAAGAGAGAAACTCGAAATTGTTGTTTCAGAGCCCAGATTCCGCCGCTGACCAAGAAAAAAGGGATACCAAAACTCGAAGGCAGACCGTCAAGAGTCACACGTCGTCATCTCCCGGGATCAATCCTGGAACGCCGACAGCCTCCTTTCGTCATAAACCACCGCCGGTTTCGCCCGCGAGATCCATCACACCGGAAGTGATACAGGTCAGTGTCCTCGTACACCTTTCTGATTCCCGAGTGTTCATATGCAAGACAATCCACAACAATGATTATCAATGATTATCCTGTGCGTACGAATGCATTAAATAAAATTGTTCATTATTGCTCTAATTATTTTGCAAAAATAAATCTTGAATGTATTTTTGAGCTCGGCGAACATAATCACAAAGTCTCGCAAATGAAATTGTTGAAATGAAATTTTTCATTATTTTGTCGTTAGAGTGACTGCGGCAATTTATACGTTTGTTCCTCACGATTAATTAAAAGAATGTGGTGCGCATTCCTGTTTTTCCTCAGTTTTCTCGCTCGGTATAAGGAATAAACACAATTGCCGTATTAATTGGTAAAATGGCGGGAGGAAAATGCCGCACGTTGGGAAACTCCGTTCCGCGCTAATTAATTTCTTTAATTGAATCGCCGACTGCAATTTTTGCGCGAAGGCAAAGTGTATTTCTGTCCTAATTAAGTGAATGCGGGCTACGCGGCCGTGACGATAATCGTACTTACCGCACGTGTGAGCTCGAAGCGCAATAATTAATTTTGCATTTTTGTTTCATCAAAAAACGTTTATTCCACATGGACAATTTACGCTTTTCGATATTTGTATGTCTAGATTGCTCGCTAATGATCACGTAGTTACAGTTCGCGAGCACATTATTCCCTGGAGAATACCTCACGCACGATGAATCACGCTTCTATCGACGACGACAATGCATGGATGACATTTTACTTGACACAAGAGATTTTTGAGTCTCCGTTTTTGAAAATGTCGATTTATTTGTTGCGTAGCCAGGATTCGAGGACGGCGACGTTCAAGGCATGTCGCGCGGGGATTCCCAGAAACAAAGCTCGAAAAGTTCGGATGGCTCGGCTCCCAGTTCGCGAAGGTATAATCATCAGAGAAACCGTAAATTTTATCCCAATTTTCTTTCCTACCTCTCTGCTTTCCCCTCTGGTTACCTCTGGAGATTTTTAAAAAATTACACACGATATACGTCACGTATTAATTAAAAAACAGCGATCTCGAAAGAGCACTCAATTTCCTTGAGAGTAACCTTCTTTTTTTTTTTCATCAAACTTATTCAAAAGCATCGCGCACGACACGAAGAAGTCAACGTCGGAGCGTCATGAATTTTGTATGAATCCAAAGTGCATGTTATGCCTCTCAGATCCTCCATGAAGAAGTCAATTCGAAAAACAGCCCCTTCGCCCCCCGTGAATCCCAGTATCCTTCGTGAAGTCAGCGAGGAGAGGGAGGAGCCCGCCTCGAAGCCCAAGTACTCATCGGACGAGAGCTCGGAGGATGAGGAGGACACGCGGATGCTGGAGGGAAACGTCTACACGAAAAGCGGCATCGAGGTAACCCGCGCATATCGATGTCCTCCTCTCCTCGAATTCCCGTCGCGTCGCGATGTAACACGCACGCTGTATATTAAAAATCGCTTGCCCAGATCTCGCGGAAGAGCGCCGGAAACGTGAAGCGCACGAAGGCAGAGATCGAGGCGGATCCGGAGGAAGAAGACGAGTTCGGCTACACGACCAGTGAGTCCTGTCCCGATGTCCCGTGCTAAATCCGACTTAGGGACAATTGGGAATTGATATTTATTTATATACTATATTTACGTCACCGAGGAGATCAATATTCATTCCGTATGATCGCCACCTCCCCCGTCACGTTCGGTCACTAACAGTGACAGCGAAAGTTCAGTTTTGTCTTTAATTAATCACAGTAATTGATCTGAAAGATAATTGATTGCAAGATGCAAATATTTCGACCCTAAATTAGATTATCTTCGGTGCTACGCCGTGAGATTACAAAATTAAATTTGAGACGGGAATTAATTAGTAAGTCACTTAGCATAAAATATATAAAAGAAATTCTGTACACAGAAAATATATAAGAAATCTATAAACTATAAAATATATAAGAAAGTCTGTAAATCTCCGTTTAAGTAATTTTAAATATTAAGGCTTTTATATTTATTATTATTATTATTATTATTATTATTAATAAATACCGTTTTTTTTAAGATCTCGCTTAATTTTTACATGCTTTTACTCTAACAATTTATTTGATTTAAACGTATCTTCTTTCATTTTGTTTTGTAATCAATTACGTTTAAAATAACGCTTTAGAATGTGTTTAGAAATCGCGCGTGCGAGATATCGGCCAATTGTGATCTTCATCACACGAGAATGTGTCCTCTTAATTTCGCAGTGAAGATACAAAAGAAGTATCAGAATCTCGGGCATAAAGTGCTGATGGTCACCCTTGAGAAGGACAGACGGGGATTAGGCATCTCTCTGGCGGGACATAAGGACAGGAACCGAATGGCGGTGTTCGTCTGCGGTCTCAATCCGAAGGGCGCAGCTCACAAGAACGGCGGGCTTCTCATCGGCGACGAGATATTGGAGGTATTTCATTCTCCTTCTCGTCGTTTTTACGACGTGCCATTTACGATCGCGGATCCCACACAGCTACCAACGTCGGGTTGTTTAACCTTCGTTTCACGCGCCGTCTATAATCCATTTAACTCGCCCGTCGCGACGTTACGCGTTATGGGTTTTCTTGAGGAAATAGCAACACTGATACTTTTGCCTCGAACACACACTCACTAAAATCGCGAAATAATGCAGAGCTCTCTACCGCATCTCGGATAGAACGACGAGGAGATAAGCCATAATAGAGATGTATCTTGTAAAAAGATTTTTATATTTAAATTGACGTACTTACAGTTTTAAATATGTGCAATTTATTATTTGGACATTTATTATTTTGACATTTTTTATTTTGGAGAATTTTTTATTGAGGGATTTATACAAAAATAATTCGTAAAAATCGAAGAAAATATCGACGAAAAAAATTCTGTACACAATTCTCTCTCAATTTTATCTTTATTACAAATTTACTTTTTCTATTTTTTATGGAAAATCACTTATATGATAATCGAATAAGAGAATTTTGTATTTTTAGTTCAAATTTCACAAGTCGTGTTGTGTTACGTGTTTTATCTCGGCACGTACAATACGGCAAATACAAAGAAGACGAAATAAAATATTATTTTCCGTTCCATTTAGGTAAACGGCTGCGTGTTGCAAGGACGATGTCATCTGAACGCTTCCGCTCTCATCAAAGGCATGGCCGGCACTCTCTTCAAAATCATCGTTTATCGGTGAGATACTGACCAGAGCTTTTTCCGCGATGTAGCGTGACGTAGAGACGACATGTATAACAAAATTCATTAAAACTATAAACGGATTTTGCCTGTCCCGGTTGCAGACGATCGAAGGCTGTCGACGACATCGCCGTAAAGCCGATAGTCCAATTTCCACCAACCTTGGATGACGTAAGTCAATTCGCGGCGTCTACCTTTTTTACCTTTATCGTTTGCAGGTGCAAGACCGGCTCCCGTAAATACTCGTAAAATAATGAATCAATGAAAAGCAATTGATATCGCATAATACACTTGACGCATCGCATGAATTACACGGCAACTGCGAAAGGAAAAGACATTACATAAGTATTTCAATACGTCAATGATTAATGACGTATTCTATGGAATATTTTTAAATAACTTATATGTTTATCCTTAAAAAAATTGTCTATTTAAATCGCGCATTATAAAATATTAATATATTTAAATTTATATTATACAGAGTATCTAAAAATAAGATCGCGAATTCTTTTTTTGCGAAAAAAATATATAGAAAAAAATGTGAAATTAAGAATGATATTTATTGGGATTTTGGGGATTAGTTTTTTGTAATGCAAAAAGAAATAGTTCTATTGTTCTTGGAAAGTTTAATTGTGATCTGTTAAAATGAAAATTTCGAAGAGATCGCTGATGAAATTTGTTGAAAATTTAGAAACCATCTTTATAATTAAGTGAAATAAATTCTTCTTGGGAAAAAAGGCTTGACTGCATATGATAAATAATACTTAAATAATGTTTAAAATAATATTCTATATTATTTTTTTATATTTGACGGATCGTGAAATACGACTTAATCGTGAAATACGACTTAACGTATTTCAGGTTTACACAGATTTCAAAAAGTACAAGGGCGTTCGTGACGTACGAGTGAAGAAGGCAAGTATATCTGCGTGTGATTGATTGTATCGGCAAATATTTCTTTCAATTTAATTTGAACTTCTTAATGCTAATTGATTGTTCGTAGAGTCAATATGGCCTTGGCATAATGATCATCGAAGGAAAACATCTGGCTGTGGGACAAGGCATCTTTGTATCCGATATTCAAGTAGGAAGTGCCGCGGAACAGGTAATTTTCGCTTCCACTTGTGAGATCAGAAGTCTATTTTAGACTCATATTTTTTACAACGCGATTGATATTTCAGGCCGGGTTACAAGTAGGCGACATGATCTTGGCTGTTAATCTGGATAGCTTATTAGGTCGTACGTACGATGAGGTTCGTACCTTTCACATTTTTCCCTTTAAATCGGTTTGCCAATACGAATGTTAAATCTTTAAGCCTTATCTATATTTTACTTTGTTAATTTTTTTTCCAGGCGACGGAGTTACTGAAAAAAGCTGAGGGCGTCGTTAAACTAGTGGTTTGCAATCCCAATGAAAATAAAGAGGAAAAGGAGAAAGACAAGGATAAAGAAAAAGATAAGGAAAAAGCTAAAACTCAGGAGCTCAAGGAGGATACTTCAATTTCGGCACAAAAGACCCCGCAAAAGAGCCCATCAGGTGATTTTTATTGAATAATAAAATTTCCGCGTTTGATTTGTAGAAAAAAATCATTCACACACAAATATACATCTTGTTTCTGAAAATTTTAATTTTGCGCGATCTATAATTTATGTTTGATTCTTTATTATTGTATCAGCCAAAGAACCAGTGGAACCCGAAGAGAAGAAAGTTCGACAGGATCCAAAGACCTGCACGATAGATGTTGGCACAGAAGTGACGATAGAGTTTCAAAAGGAGAAGAACCAAGGAATAGGTTTCTGCATCACTGGTGGTTCGAACACTCCCTGTGTAAGTATATTTTCGATAATTTTCAAAATATATTCTGCCTATTTCCTTGTCGATATATAACATCGCATAATATTTCGATATTTTTAATAATTTTCTTAACCTGTATGTTATTTAATTTAAACGTAGACTTTATTATTGTAGTGGAAAAATCACAGATTAAAATATTTGTGACTATATGTTTGATTTGTAATACCTTAAAATTCACCTTATCTCATTAGTCTGCTCTTTTATTTTTATTTCTTCAAAATTACATGATTATTGACGTTAATACATGCCTTCATGAAAAATAATACTCTTTGTAGAACGGAGTGTTCATTCTGGATGTATTTCCCGATGGCGCGGCCGGGAAGGACGGTCGATTGCAACCTGGCGATCAGATTCTTAGTATAGGCAGCGATAGCTTCACGGATATAGAACACGATAAAGCTCGCGAAACAATTCTGAAGCAGGCTCCTGGAACTGTACGTAACATTTATATTCTTAAATAATTATTTATTTCTTGTATGGAACGTGAAGAAGATGACATAAAAGAATTTTGCGATATAATTTTAATAAACGCTAGAAATGTCTTGTGTTTTAATCGAATTTTCGTTCAATCAATGAAATATTCATGACGCGGTTTCGTTGTTACTTTTACAGATTACAATGACGGTGTTGCGTCACGAGAAACCAGCCGAGGAATACGACGTCGAGATACAGAAAAAGAGTGGCAAAGGAGCTGGTCTCTGTTTCGCCGCGTTTTGGAACAAGAAAGGTGTTTACGTGACAGAGTTGGTGAGTTTGGCTTTCAATTCTATCGATGTGACGATCGATATAAGTGATTCACATTTCGTGATTCGCATAATCGGTTTTCATTAATCTCTATCTTTACAGACGGCGGGTGGTCAGGCCATTGAAACCGGCAAGATCTGCAAGGGTGATCGTCTCGTGTCGATCGGTGGATTGGACGTTCGCGACGCTTCCCTGGACGATATCGCCTTTCACATGAAAATATCTAATCCGCTGCAAATGAAATTAGCTAGGTACCATTCCGTCAAACAATGACAGGTAAGACAAACGTGTCAATTGAACGATTATATTTACAACGTTAAGCCGGATAAACAAAAGTCGTTCGGAAAGTTCTGTTCGGAGATTGTTTCATTTTTCCTTAACTTGAACGAACGTAATCGAACGGCGAAATCGCGATTAGTCCACGGTCAATCGATGAATAAATCCGAGATAAATTATCTTTTTTAGGGTTCTGCGGGCGGAACTCTCAGCGTGTGTCCCGATGTACGAAGAAACGTCTGCAGACACCATGGATTCTAGTGTGATATAAATATAGATAAAACAGTGTCTCGATAATCGTAAGAGTACCTTTGTTACCAGAGCCGCGTGCAAAATCACGTGGTTCATTCTGTTAGTTACATGCCAGCATCGCCAATCGATCTTGCCGTTTGAGCTCGTGCGACGCGAGACGTGAGGAAGAGAGAAGTGAGAATGAAAGATGAAGCACGACGACTCACAAACGTACACATCAGTTCGAGTTCAGAGCCGTCGGGGGAGAGAATTTTTAATAGCCAACCAGAAGGTATACCAAAATCGAGTGATGATCTTGTCGTCGTCGACGCGGGTCGACGATCGGCCGTCGATCGAACCCGTAAACGATTCCGTCTGCCGATGCTCGCGCTCGTGCAAGTAGCCGATACGAAGTATCTTATATACATATTATTACGATTATGCATAGCGAGATGATACGATATCGCTGGGACGAGGGAGTTCAATAACGGCGAGGATTTCGTCTCGTTTCGGCATAGAATGTCGTAGGACAGATAAATAGATGTAATAATCGGCGAGTTCGCAATCGAGGCTCGCGTGACGATCGAAGGGAGAAAACCGCGGGACATCGTCCAGAGATCCGGTCTTTTTCTCTTTACACCGTTCTCCATACGTATACACAAAAATCGAACCCGCTTGTACATTTCCACGTACCACACCTTGCGTACAGTTAAGGCAGGCAAGAACAGTAAGACCGAATTGTAGCGCGCGTGTTCTCGAATCTGTAAAATATGTTCTTTTTTTTCCTCGTTTTTTTCTTCTTACGATAAGATTCTAGTCCAGCTCCGAGATCGACGTTTCGGCGTTTCTCGCCTTAACCATCACTCTCGCTCGTGTCGTGGCCGCTCCCGCCGCCATAGCGTTTCCCACTGTCGTATATTGTATTTTTAATATTAATAAGAAGCACACACACACACACACACACACACACACACACACACACACACACAGAGAGGGAACAATGTGCGAGCTGCAAAAATTTTATGCGTGTGACGGTTGTGAACATCAAACGTTCCATTAGCTCTTCTCGTCTAGTTTAAGTTTTGAAATAAGGCGATCACTTTGATAAAGTTCATAAATAGAATTTTTTCACAATGCGCAGATCAATTCGTAAATCAATAAAAATGACATAAGCTACTAAGATAAATTTTTTTTAATTTTTTAACGGTAGAACCAGGTAGGCAGCCCTGTGTTCAATTTGCATGCGCATATCATTTCAAGTGGCTCGTACGTTGATATGTCCTATCAGTGTAGAATGTCGCCTAAAGGACGTTAGAGGAGGAACATCACATCCCCCGAGCGTGGAATCGACGAAAAGGGGAAGCGGTCGCGTCGAATGTCGAAATGTCGATCGAGAGAGATCACTTAGCTGTAAGTGCTTGGAGACGCGCGCTCGAGATCGTCCCCGGTGCGATCTCGCCGTATATAATCCGGGATGTTTCCCCAAGACGAATGGCGGATATCATCCCGTTCGAGCGTCTCTTTATAGCGAGGACGCGGTGGCTGACGCGTCGAAAAGCTAGACTGGCTTGTTGAGTACACATAGTTAAATTAAATCCTACCGTGTAACTAGTCCTTATAATATATAGAAAT